GTATCGGGTATACCGTACCCGTACCCGTACCCGTCAAATTTTTTTTTTTATTATTATTTTTTTAAAATATAATATTTTTAAATTATTTTTTTAATTATATTATAATTATAATTAGATTATTTCTCTATCTCATATTATAATAAATAATTACACATAAAAAATACTAAAATTTTTTAATATAATTAAATTAAAAGTGAGTATTTAATTAAAAATGAGAACGGGGACGGGTATAGGTACGGGTACGGGGCGGGTAAGTACATACCCGTACCCGTACCCGTACCCGATTTAATATATCGGGTTTTACCCGTACCCGTACCCGTACCCGGTCAAACCGGGTATTCCCCGTCAAAGTCGGGACGGGTTCGGGTATTACCCGCGGGTACGGGTATATTTGCCATCCCTAGGTGAAGGTAGAGCTGTGAAAACGAGTCAGGTCCGATCTGGTCTACTATGGGTTGATCATTTGGTGAGCTAACTCAATCCGACTTTATTTATAAGTGAGTTCAAAAAAATTGGGCCCAGCCTGGCCCACCACGGGTTGGCTCACCTTTAAAAAAATTATTTTTTTCATTTTTTTTCTTAATATATAATTAAAGCTGAAAAAATTCAAACCTATTTTAAAAATCTAATATTCTTAATTAAGATATTCATAAATGAATCATTCATCCCGAACATTAAATGATAGTTTTAAATGCAATCAAATCAAATCTAAATAATCTTAAATAAATAAATATAATCCAAAATTATCTTAAACTTCAAATATAATCCAAAATCATCTTAAACTTCAAATACAATTCAAAATCATAAAAATTACAAATTACAATCCAACATTAAATCATTATTGTCTCATGTTGGGATGCACCATGGCCTAATAATTATTGTATTTTTTTATTATTTTTTTTATTCACGGGTTGGTGGGCCAGCCCGACTCACCACGGGTTCAACCCGGGTGAGCTGTGGGTTCAAAATTAACTCGTATTGAAAATTTCAATTTTTTCAACCCAACCCGAGTCGAACCCGTGGTAGGCCGGGTTGGCTCACCGGGCCAAGCCCATTTTGACAGCTCTAGGTGAAGGGAGAGAAGAAAATAGGCCAAAATTAATTCTAGATAAAAAAAATAAGGTTAAATTTTATAATTGTTTAATAAAATAGAATTTGATAAAAAAATTAAAATTATATTTTATATAATTAGATTTAAATTTAAAAATGTTTTTCTTCAATCATTTTTTTTTTCGTTTTTCTCATTGTTTTTTCCTTTTTTATTTAACCTTCAAGAACCTATCATGACTGATATATATATTATTTTATTCCTCACATGTATTGAAGTGACATTATAATTTTTTTATATATAATATAATAATGTTATGGTAATTGACATGATCAATAATTATACTATTTGACTGTTTATAAATATTACATTTAGTTTTTAAGTTAGTTGGATATGGTTACCTAAGTTATATAATGCATTACTAGCTAACATATTCAAATATGATGAGTGTTGTTTTCATGATTTATCAGCAAAATGTGTTAACATTTTAAGATATTGAAATATTGTCATTATTATAAAATGTTATACCGGCCATATTTTTGAACTATAATGTATTATGAAATATTAACAGTTGAATATATCTCTTACATTTGCATTTACATATAATGGATTATGCTTCCACCAAAGCTGATTACGGGAGCATTTTACACAATTTTTCATTCAAAATATGTACATAGTAAAACACAAATAGATTAACATAATAAATAGTCATCATTTTAATATAACAATTTCAAATTCTAGTTCTACGAAAAGCAATCATAAAGATAAACAAATAAAAACAACATATTATCTTCTCAAACTAAAATATAGAAAGAAACAACACATTGTGTTATAGTTATTATTTTTATTTTATATTTTAAAATGTATATATATAATTTAAATTACAAAAAAATATACACTATTTTTGTCCTAAAAAAATTAAATACACACTACTCATAACCGATTATGAATTCGTTTGACTTGGAATCATAATTCACTATGTTAAGCATAATGGATAATTAAAGGAACTCATAATCAATCTGATATAGTAGATTATGATTTTTGTAACGATTCGTTATGATCCCTACACTTAACAGTTTATCAATTGACAACCAAAGGCAACTAATAACTTATATGTCTACTGATATATGAACATGTATAGCATATCATTCATATGAAGGTGAAACAACTATATAAACATAAATGATATAAATACAAGAGTCCAATAAAAGTAAAATATACAACTTAAGTTGGTGGTCAAGCAACTTCTACTATCAATTAGCTACTCCAAGGTAGCACAAAACATCAATATCGAAAATCACAATGTGGTCTCCAAAACAACTCCCATAGAAATATATCCTTGCTTCACTCCCATATCAAGTATGATTATCCTAATCCATCTATATGGAAACACACAAGGGTAAGCTAGAGTTTAAAGAAATAACATATATACAATACAAAGAATCAATCAACATTAATATATCATCACATCTTC